TCTCTATGTCTACCCACCTACCCATCCCTGGATTGTTTTTGAAGCAGATCCTAGACACTGTACAATTTCATTGGTGAATATTCCAGAATATAACTCTAAAGCATGTCTGCAAAAGATAAGGACTGTTTTTTAAAAACAAAAACATAACCACCATGCCATTATTACCCTTAATAAGTTAACAATTCTTAATCTGAACACCGACTGGATATTTGATTTCCCTGATTGTCCCATGATGGGTTTTTTTTCAGGTTGTTCAATTCAGGATCTGAATATGGTCTGAACATTGCAACTAATTGTTGTGTCCCTTAAGTTTCTTTTTTTTTTTCTTTTTTTTTTTTTTTTTTTTTGCGGTACGCGGGCCTCTCACTGTTGTGGCCTCTCCCGTTGCGGAGCACAGGCTCCGCACGCGCAGGCTCAGCGGCCATGGCTCATGGGCCCAGCCGCTCCGCGGCACGTGGGATCTTCCCGGACCGGGGCACGAACCCGCATCCGCTGCATCGGCAGGCGGGCCCTCAACCACTGCGCCACCAGGGAAGCCCCCCTTAAGTTTCTTTAGTAGGTAGGTGCCTTTGCCAACTCTTTTTTTCTTTGCTGTTTCTTTGTTGACAAAACAAGGGCATTTGCCCTATAGTTTCCCACTATCTAGAATTGCTGTTTGTATCCACACACATTGTTTAATGTGTCCCTCTGTCCCACATATTTTCTGTAAATTGGTAGTTAGATTCAGTGGCTTGATCAGAATGACGTCTGTTACTTTCGACAAGAATACATTATGATGACTGTCCCTTTATTTTTAATCTACAGCCACCAGATTGTCCTCCCACAATTACATGGTATTTAGTTAGAAGATGGTTTTTCTGCATGTCTTAAGATAGGAAGTAGTCAAACACCTAACTGTTCTGAAGCGATTTTTCAAAAAATGTTTGTATTGGTTTTCTACTGCTGCTATAATAAATTAGCACAGACTTAGGGACTTAAAATACAAGTTTATCATCTTATAGTTCTGTAGCTCAGAAGTTCCGTACAGATGCTACTGGGCTACGATCAAGGTGTTGGCAGGGCTGGGTTCTCTTCTGGAGGCTCCAGGGGAGGATTCATTCCCTTGCCTTTTCCAGCTTTTAGAGGCTACCCACATCTCTTGACTCCTGGACACCTTCTTTCGTCTTCAGTGCCAGCAAGTTGCATCTCTCTGACCCTTCTTCGTGCCTCCCTCTGACCACAGCTGGGAAAGACTCTCTGTTTTTAAGGACTCATGTGATTAAACTGGGCCCACCTGGATAATCCAGAGTCCTCTCCTATCTCCAATTCCTTCCCCTTAATCACATCTGCAGGGTTTCTTTTGCCATGTAAGGTCATATATTCACAGGTTCCCGGGATGAGGATGTGGACATCTTTAGGGGTCGTTATTCTATGTAGTGCAGTGGTCATCCAGTTTTTAAAGTCAATACCATTATAAAATTGAAGAATGATTAATAGAGTATGGTATGTTGCAGATGATCTGTTGTGATATCATAATGATTTAGGGTATCGATAAGGTAGGGTAGATTATAGTAATGAGCTGTGATTACAACATCGTAGTAGTTTTACATGGTTCTGGGTGGCTGTCTGCATGGGTCTTGATAATCGTTGATATTTTTGCAGGTAGCAGCATTTTCTTTGGTTCACGGGCTCTAAGATGACCACACTGCCTCCCCTTAGAAATGCTGCTTTAAGACTTGTAGAAGCTCAGAAAATGGTACAAATGAACTTATTTACAAAACATAGTCACAGATAACAAACTGTAACAAATTTATGGTTACCAAGGGGAAACAAATTTATGGTTACCAAGAGCGATAAATTGGGAGACTGGGGTTGACATATACACACTACTGTATATAAAATAGATAGCTAATAACAACCTACTGTATGGCAAAGGGAACTCTACTCAATACTCTGTAATGACCTATATGGGAAAAATCTAAAAAGGAACTTCCCTGGTGGCACAGTGGTTGAGAAGTCCACCTGCCGATGCAGGGGACGCGGGTTCGTGCCCCGGTCCGGGAAGATCCCACATGCCGCGGAGCGGCTGGGCCCGTGAGCCATGGCCGCTGAGCCTGCGCGTCCGGAGCCTGTGCTCCGCAACGGGAGAGGCCACAACAGTGAGAGGTCCGCGTACCTCAAAAAAAAAAAAAAAAAATTCTAGAAAGGAGTAGATATATGTATATGCATAACTGATTCACTTTGCTGTACAACAAAAACTAAACATTATAAATCAACTATACTGCAATAAAAATTTAAAGACTTATAGAAGCCCAAGTCATCAATATTATTACATACACAGCATCTCTGTATCTGGACCTTCTGTGTTTCTGAATTATAGGATGAAAATTTATTGTAGCACTTAAACATAGTGAGGAGGTAGTAAGTTCTTATAGAAATGATTTGAGTAGAGCAGGATTTTTAGCCCTCTTTTTGTTTTGCATTAGCAAGATAACCTCTAGGTAGTAAGGCAGATAATGAGTCAGGGTTAAGTGAAGAGTGTAACATAGGTATTTTTCATTCGTAATCTATGTCTATACTAGGTAAAGCAACTTCAGGACTTTAATGATTTTTTTCCCTAATTGAAAACCATAGAGGAATCTCCTTTTCTCTTTTTATATTGTTTTACCTTTTAATTCGCATTGACACTTGCCCCTCAGTTCTACAATATATATAGTTTATTTGGGGGATGCATTTGGAATTTTACTGTAACATCGGTCATCCTATAGCAGCACTAGGTTGATGATAGATTTTTCTTGGAGGCCATCCAAGAGGTTGTTACTGAAGACCAAAAGGACCTCATTATAAAGTGATTTTGCTATAAAATGGTCCCTTGGAATGATCCCTAGAGACAGCAGGTCATTTGTACAGTTAAAAGAGCATGTAGTGTCAAAAATCGTTACTAAGGGGTCCTTACTACACACCATTAGTTTAAATAAATTCCAGATGAATTAACAAGTTGTGTAATGGCTTAATCCCATAAAAAGACTAGGAAAAACTATATAAGGAGATGTTAATGTGATCCGGGGCAAGAAGACCTTTATGATTTCTGCTTTTGTAGATAGCCCTTCATGTGAAACAGACACTTAAAAAAAAAAACCCATCAACAAGTGGAGCCACGAATGGCATGTTACCCTCACCCAGCAGAGCGCTTGGTGGAAAGAGTCGTTACACTCAGCCTTGGAATGTTCTTTCCAACGCACCTGCAAGCAAAGGGATAAAGTATTTATAAAGAGATTGGGATTGTCTAGAGTTTAAAAAAATTTTTTTTATGTAAAGGATCTTGAGTAACTTGAGTTCTTTTTAAATTTTCAAAAATTTAGAAAGGTAACACATTTTTTAAAAGCAAAAATGCTATTTTACTATACATTGTTTTGTATTCTGCTTTCTTTTTTAACCCAATAACGTGTCATGAACTTCTTTTGAAATCAAAATATACCTGTACGATATCACTTTTCACGGCCATATAGTGTTTCCCTCTACGGCTGTACTCTGTGTTTCACTTGTTTGTTTTGGCCTCACTGCATGGCTTAGCGGGATCTTAGTTCCCCGATCAGGGATTGAACCCGGGCCCCCCGGCCGTGGAAGCACGGAGTCCTAACCACTGGACTGCCAGGGAAGTCCCTATACTCCGTTTTTAAACCAATCCCTGTGTTTGGGCATTAGGTTGTTTCTAATTTTTCACTATTATAAGTGTATCTATCTGGGTCCAATCAGGAGAAAGAAATTTGAACATGGAAAATGTAGTGTACGGAATTACTAACTATAATGGGGTTAGAGTGATGAGGGGTTAGCCAGCAGGAAGTAAAGAGACAGAAATAGCAGGTAGAAGGTGTAGTCACTCCCCTGTGGAGACAGGGCACCCACAGCAGTACCCCCAGGGTTGAGGTGCAGATCAGGTAGAAGAGGGCACAGCGGGGTTCACTGGATTTCAGAGAAGTTGCTGTGGTGCCGAGCTGGCAGCACTGCCTGGAGATCAGTCCTTAGGGTACTAGGGAATACAATGCACAGGGAGGCGTCTAATTGGAGGCACTCTATTCCAAAACTGCCCAAGGAGCGGGTGTGTTGGGAGACGTTGCTGGCCTTGGGGTGCTGCTGGCCACTGCACACCAAAGGAGCTGCCAGCATGGCAGGAGTTTGTCAGGAGGGCACTGGAGCCGGGAAGCAAAACCCGTTTCCCCTGCAGTATCTCTGCAGTCTCCTCCACCGCCAAAGCTGGTAAAGGAAAAATTATTTAAAGGACCCAGATCCATTTTCACAGAGCAGTCAGAAAAGGGTGAACCTGGAGCTGAGAGACGATAAATTGAAAAGCGGCAAAGGAAGCAGTGTTTCAAGGAGTATCCTTGTATATACATCATGGCATACCATCCAGATGTTTTGTTGCACACATTTCCTAGACATAGAATTGATCAAGAGGTAGGCACGATTCGCTCTCTAGAAAGATGTGTTAACTATCCTCCTGTGACTTAGCACTTAGAGCTTCTTCACACTTTACTTAACCCTGGGTGTTAGTGTTCTTTTTAATGCTTACAAATCTGATAAGTCAGGAAAAAAACACCTCAGTATTGTTTTTTGTTGATATTTTTTAAAAATTAGAGATGTCAGAGCTTTTTCCTTTTTTATTCTTTTGGGCGTTTCCTATCTATATCTTTTGCCCATTTAAAAAATTGGAAGATTGTCTTATTGATTTGTACATGCTCTTTATATATCAAGTATCAGAATGTTTAAATGGTTATATAGTCAGATCTTACATTCATTTGTAATGTTTAAAATGTAATTCATCTGGAAATCATTTTAGTTTAAGGTCTGAGGGTTATAAGTGTTTAACTTTTTAATTTTGTTCCAATAATGTTAACTATTTTCTCTTTTCCTGACTGATTTCAAATGTTACTTTGATCATATATTGAATTGTGTCTATTTCTAGACTTTAAATTGTTTTCCTTTGGGTTTTAGTGAGTTAGTTGTCTCACTTTTTCTTTCAGAACAGGACGCAGGCCTTGATGCCCTTTCCTCCATCATAAGTCGCCAGAAACAAATGGGGCAGGAAATTGGGAATGAACTGAATGAACAAAATGGTAAGAACACGTCTGAAATTGACCAGATTTGCCATTTAATATAAATGCTAAAGGCTTGTCTAATTGTTAAATGATTTTAATATTACAAAACACCTGAAGTAGTTGAACAACAATGGATTTTTACATTGATAGTTTAATGCAATTGAGGGTGGTTTGTGGCAGATTTAGATTGTAGTTATAAACACTAGGAAAAGAAATTCGGTTAAAAGACGTCCAGTTTTCTGTAGCTGCTCTTAAAAATGCTTTGTTTTGTGATCTGTTTATCCTGTGGGCTCTCCTTATGTGGTCACGGGGCGAAGTGGCTCAGTGCATCGTACACCAGCGCAGAGGCAGGGCACACTGAGTTGTCCTCCACACATCGTGGGGGGGGCGGGCGGAGGCGTTGGCTCCTCTTCTGTCATAAATACCAGGCTGCAGGGCGAAAAAATACTTGAAGATTTTTTTATTCAGGGCTTGATGTGACAAACCTGGCTGGAGAAAGATTAGTTTGCAAACCCACAAGCAGGATGGCTTGGGAGAGACAGAGCTTTTAGTCAGGAGCCTACCCAGAAGGCTCTTGTGCTTGAGGTATGCGGTTGAGGGTACAGGGGCATGAATGGAAGATGCAGCAGTAGGAGTGGAGAAGAGCGGATGGAGGCAGGGGACTGATGGTGCTTTTACTGCATGGACCCTTTCAGGGGAATGGGGGAGGGGGGGTCGCTGGTTTGTGAGTGGAGATCCTAAGTCCGGTTTGGACCCGTCCAATGAGAGATGCCAGTGAGGAATCCGAGTCACAGCGTCAAGTGGACAGGGGAGATAAGGTACTAGAGCTCGGCGAGAGGACAGGACCAAAGGGAAGAGATGTGAGCAGCTTCAGCAGCGAGGTGCTGGGTGGAAGCAGAAGAATAGTTGAGTTTCAGCGAGGTAAGCGTTTATTGAAGGCCCCTACTAGGTGCTAAGCCCTTTAATCTGTGCCGTTTCATTTAATCAGCGCATAGCACTGGGAAGGTGATGTTATTGCTGTTTGTCAGGGGTGAAGCCCAGAGCGGCTGAGGGACCCCGTAACGTCACCTCAGTTGTAAGGGATAGAAATGAAATTTCACACTAGCTTTCTCTCTAAGGAAGACAAAATGGGGAGAGAAAAGTAAAAAGTAAAAGGTTTCAGCTTGTGTCATAGTATCATGGAGGCTCACGGTGGAACGGCTTTCAAGAAAGGTTACCCTGTATGGGCGAGCATTGGAGCCCTGGGAGCGGGCATGTGCTTGCTCCAAAGCGGGGCTGCACCTGTCAGGTTATACAAGTCCCACTTTTCTTCATCTCTACAAAGACTGAGTTCATCTGTTGCCACAGTACTATTCCATTCATCTGTCATAAATGAATAAAAAGTTAATTCTATCCATCTGCCATCTGTCATAAATAAATAGATCACCAAAGCAAATGGAGAAACCCTCTAGCTCTACCATCCTAATAGAGGTTCTTAATGGTTTAAGGGCAGAGAGGAGGACAATTCAGTCCTTTCCTGATGGTGCTGATGTGAATGTACTAATTCATGTACTTGCATCTAACCCAGTTATTGGCCAGTTCCTTCCTTGAAAGACAGTATTCATAAGAAAATTAGCTCTGTAGGAAATCTGCCTGTCAGAGGTATAATTGTTCTTTATCCCAAGGAAATTTAGCCTGTTGAGTGGGTCAGTCTAGAAAGGACGCTAGCCACACACTGGTAAAGCACGTGCATCCTGTGATGTGCTCAGATAAGCCATGTCTAGTAACCGTGGTCCATGGTCAAGGATGGATGGTGCCTACTTTGGTGAGGTGACTTGCTGACTTCCCGGATGAGGTCTCCGTGCATTTTCTTGCATAAGCAATCACACTGGCACGTCCCTATCTTGTTCAGTAAGCACCATACTTTGCTGCGTATTAGAATCACCTGAGGACCTTCTCAGCCTCCAAATCCCAGGCCATACCTGAGCTGGTTTTCTGTTGTTGCTGTAACGCATTACCACAAACTTAGTGGCTTCAGACAGCGCAACCCCCTCCTCATAGTTCTGGAGCTCTGAAGTCGGCTATGGGTCTCATTGGGCTAAAACCAGGTATTGGAAGGGCTGCATCCCTTTCTGGAGGCTGTGGGGGAGAATTAATTTCCTTGCCTTATCCAGTGTCTAGAGGCTGCCTGCATTCCTTGGCTTGTGGCCCCCTTCTCCACCTTCAAAGCCAGCAACGGTGGATTGAGTCCTTCTCGCATGGCATCACTCTGACTTCTAGCTTCTGTCTCCCTCTTCCTGTTTTAAGGACCTTTGTGATTATGTCCGGCTCACCCGGATAGTCCAGAATAGTGTTCCTATTTAAGGTCAACTGATTTAGCAACCTTAATCCATCTGCAACCTAATGCCCCTTGGCCGTGCAACCTAACATTCTCAGGTTCCGGGATGTAGATGTCTCGGGGGTGGGGGGCGCTGTTCTGCCCAAGCATCAGTACTTTTTTAAAGCTCCCCAGATGATTTCAGTAGGCTGCCAGGTTTGGGAACCAGTGCGCCTGTTGAATATGCTGAGAGAATGTATTTAGTACGGTACTGTTCCCTTGCCTCTCGTACGCTCACATGACAGATGGAAAGCCCACCCGTGCACAGACCCTTCGCCTGGTTATATAGTGCACATCTGCCATCCTAGTCACGGAGACTCTCTCTTCCCATCACACGTTTTACCCCCATCCTTTCCACCTCTTCCTCTGTGCCTCCCCGGCCCTCATCTCCGTTCCAGACCCGGATGCACATATGGGTACATAGACAAACATGAGGTATTTTTCCATGAGTTGCCAAGATTAGCTGGGTTTTCTCTGTGGTGGCCTCCCACTGAGATGGCAGCTATGCTGGTGGTTTTCTGTCGTGCACATTTGCTCCTCAGAAATAGGGCAGAGTCAGCCATTTTCGTTCATAGGGACAGAGAGACTCTCTGAGGATAAAAATGATATTCCTGCTAGGACTGTGATCAGCCTTTATTCCTTTTGTCAAAGTCAAGAAGGCCATTATGTCTAGAGGTGTTGAGAACAGGCTTGCAGCCCCATCTGGATTTTTATTGTGACCCGAGCACATAATGAGGCGTCTGGGACCCGGGAGAAGGTTTCCACTTCTGGTTGTAAATATCTCTGCTTAGTTTATTGACCTACTGAATTATCCTTTTGGTTTTCACTACACGAGAGAAACAATAGGCTAAGATACTGGCCAGCCAGGCCATTTTTGGAATCAAGTATCCAGACCTTACTAACAAAATACAGTACGTGGTACTGAGAGGGTAACCACAAAGCCGAAGGGTTGAATTATCATCACTGTAGGAATCTTCTCAGAGAGAGTTAAAAAGGGCCTGGCCCACACCAGTAATTACCCTGTTCCCGTGCCCGTGACCAAGCCTAATGAGGAAGAGGATAGGCAGCTCAGTGAAAAGGCGGGTGATGGGAGACCTGCAGGTCTAGTGGATTTGGGGGGTTGGCATCTGCTGAAGGTGGGGGGATGCAGGAGAGAGGGGTGGGTGGAGGGCCGAGCCAGGGAGATTGCCCCGTGGGACCACGGTCCACAGTGAACTGTACGGGTGGCTGGGGGCGAAGGGTTCGTGTCAGGCTGACTGCCCAGATGCTGTTCCGAAGTGCAGCTGTGGTACAGTTTTACTGAAAAACCCCTTAAAGTTCCTGCTCAAGAGTACGGGGCCTTTGGAAAGGAACACTAAAACAAGAAAATGAATGGGACTGACTTGACTGAAGTGTAGGTCTTTCTGAGACCCGATCTGGGCGTTGGCCAAGCTGTGAAGCCGGTTCCGAGGGAGGAGACAGCACCGGGAACATGCTGCGTCGCTAACCTCTGCCAGTGTGTGCTGGTCCTCCTCATTCTTTCTGATGTTCAAATATCCCCAATTCGGCCAGTCCTTTCGACATTTCTCTGTCCATCTTTAAACCTTTCCTTGCTTTCTGGAAGAATCCACGGTGACAGGGAAGGCCACTCATCTCTACCGACAGCATAAGTACCGGGACTGAGGAGACCAGGGTGTCCTTTGAAAGAGCTAGACAAAATGATCAAAGATTTCACGTACACGTCAGTGAATTACCATTGTAAGGGTCTGTTAGAGCTCCTAGCTGCATTTTCATGTTGAAAGCAATGCGGCAGGCTGAGTAATAGCTCCCAAAGATACCCACATCCTGATCTCTGGAATCTGTGTTTCCTTTTATGACACAAGGGACTTGGCAGGCGTGTTAATCCATTGAGGATCTTGAGACGGAGAGCTTATCCTGGATTATGTGGTTGGGGCCTAAATGTAATCACAGGTGTCCTTCTCAAAGGGGGAGGCCAAGGGACTTCCCCGGCAGTCCAGTGGTTAAGACTCTGCACTTCCACTGCAGGGGCCGTGGGTTCAATCCCTGGTTCCCACATGCCGCCAGGCGCGGCCCCAAAAAGAAAGAGGCCGAGAGAGCTTTGACATGGAAGCGCGGCCATGTAATGACTGAAGCAAGGTGCTATGATACTGGCTTCAAAGATAGAGGCAGGGATGCAGGGAAGACAGCTCTAGAAGGTAGAAAAGGCCAGGAAATGAACTGTCCCCTAGAGCATCTGGAGGGACACCTTGATTTCAGTTGAGTGAAACTGATTTTGGACTTCTGATCTCCAGAACTATAAGAGAGCGATTGTATATTGTTTCAAGCCACTAAGTGTGTAATCATTTGTTAGAACAGCAACAGGAAACTAAGGTAGGTAATCATTGTCTTTTTGTCAGTTGTCAGTGAACTCAGGTTAACCCCTCTTATGCTAGAAAACATGGACTCCTTCATGTGTCTAACTCCTCTTCCGTCTTGAGGAGCTTTCTTTGAAGCGGGCTTCACAGAAGGAAGTTTGCAGTTCTGGGGCCCCAGTCAACCTCTCAAACCGCATAGCACTTTAATAACAGAATTTAATTGCAGACTTTAGTCTTGTACTGGTGAAATGTGTGGGCATTTGGGCGAAAGAATCTCTGTGGAATATCTGGTGTCAGAATTTCCCAGA